AACATGTGTAGCGCAATTGTAATTTTTGCGCGCTGGGGCACCGGGCGCGTATTTACGTTTATAGGTGCGTAAACGTGGGGGGGGGGGGGTTAAACATTTTGGGGGTTTTTTTGACTTATTTTGTTATATGTTACATTTTTTTTATTTATATTTTTTTTTGCACTTATTGTTATTGCTATTATATAGGGGGATAACAATCGCCCTATATAATAGCAAAGGCACACTGACAGGTCCTCTTTATGGAGACATTAGGGGTCTCTAGGACCCCTAATGTCACCTGTGGACCCCAAAAGAAGCTGATGAAGCAGAGATCTGCTTCATCAGCTTCTTTTCTCTGGCTATAGCAGCCAGATGACTGACAGGTGAATGCGGAAGTGATGATTCACAGCCCGGAGGGAGACAGCAAGGAGCTGATCTCTCTCCCTCCTGACGCCCTCCGAGCCGGTCCCGGGCCGCAGATGGGGCAGCGGATCCCGGGCACATATAGACGATCGGCGGGCTATGGAGCCGCCGATCGTCTATATGTGAAACACCGGGTAACGGGTGTTTGCATTGGCCGGGTCTTTTCTGCCCGTGCGTGCCCGCTAGGGGGCGCGCGCCAGCAGAAAAAAAAAATGCTGTCTGGAGAAGGCAACCCGCCAATGCAGCAGTGCCGTCCGTCCGTTTTTTTACAACGGGCGGACGGCAAGTGGTTAAAAGAAGAACTATGAGGCGAGTGCTTTTCACTCATCCTCATGGTTCTAGCCGACCTGTTACAATGAAACTGTCACAGGTCGGCTCAGTAGAACGGGAGGTGAGCGAACACATACCTGTCGCGGCAGAGAGCGGTGACAGGGGAGGGACTGGATTCCCCTCTCCTCCAGCGCTGACTGTCGGAACGGACAGGGGAGGGGGCAGGTACAGCTGAGTGAGTGAAAAAGGGGGTGATGTAGATATCCTCAATTATCAAGGAATGGGAAGCTATAGTAACCATACTGTGTCCTCAATTATATACAAACACTCAGCGATCACAGATCGCTGAGTGTATGCATTGGCTCTCCTTTCTGACAGCTGTCACAGGAGGCGGGGCGGTGCAGGGAGGAGAGCCAAGTCTCCTGTGACAGCACGGGCTGTCTCCGCACACACACCGCTCTGCTGGACTGTGATAGGAGGCTGAGTGGTGTGGGGAGGAGGGATACCGGCCGCTCGGCTGGCTGTCACAGTTTCTCTCCTCCCCGCCGGGACACAGAGCAGCACCCAGCGGGGAGGAGAGAATACACGGATGCACCGATCGGCCAGAAAATGGCACTTTTGGCATTATACCAAAAGTGCAATTTTCGCCCGATATATTGGTGCATCCCTATGTAATATATAATAAAGGATTCAAGCATAGCATTACAAAAATATATATTTTTAATGCCAACAGGTAGCTTTCTTTGGCAGGAGAGACTGTCGCTTCTGCCATGAAGGCTTCTTCTGATAGGATTTTTTTATAATCCTAATTACTGCATGTGTACAGTTCAGTGTACAATCTTGGCATACCGATGGCACCAAGATGAACTAACTCCCGGCCAATCAATAAGACTGAACCTGGAAAACTACGGAAGCACCAGTGGAGAGAGGGCATGCAGACATCACATCACTTGAGCAGAACACTTTGCAAGGTAAGTGTGCCATGAAATACAAATATGATTGGGAACTTGCAAATTATGGAAAGAGATTATGGGAACCCTAAAAAAGTAAAGTTTTGTTTCACTTTAAAATGGCAAACTGCAACCATCTCATTAAAGGAGAACTATGGGGTTAAGGCTTTTTCCCATAGTTCTCCTTAGTGCACCGGGAGGACACAAACTAGCGTCTTACCGTCAACATAGGCTCAGTATACCACGAGCTATACTCTTAAGGACTGGCTAGTAGTTCAGAACCTGAAATTTTGAGCCCCGATATAAACTATACTTTACGCAAAAAAAAATGATAGCCTTATCTGACTGGTACACTTATGCGATTGCCACGATAAAAGCCACTATAATGGTACACGAGCACAAAAAATGATTTATACAAAAGCATACACGTTTCAGCAACAAGCTTGCTACATTTTAGTGCCCATAGCTGTAAAATAAAACCACCAGCCTTTCCCTACTTATAACTGAAGTTTAGTTTCTTGTTATACAGCCCCAGGGACATAACTTACCACTTATGGAGGTGTATCCATGTCCTGGTGGCTGCTATTGTAGAAATTCTCCTACAAGTGCTGCCAAATAACCCCTACATGGCTGATCTTATGGAGCTGCGTTGATTAACAATGGCCACTTTCAGTGTGAAAAAGCCTGCAAAAGTTGCACCGCTCACCCACTCCTTACTCCAATACTAGTATAACCCCCATCATCTCCCACAACGCAAAGCGACCTGGGATTGGGAGACAGGCAGTTGAAAGAGAATTCACCTCCTCGAGTTATAGGTCTCTGGATTGTGGGAAATAATGGTTCAGCCTCTATTACTAGGAGGAGAAAGGAGTAAGGGACAGCAAGTGGCGCAACTTTGGCAGACCCTTTAACACTGGTAGCAGCTGATAAATCCAAAGCACCAGAAGATCAATGTATAGGGGGTATTTTGCAGCACCCATGCAATGATTTCTACAACATGCAGCAGCCACCAGGACATGGGACACACCTTCCATGTAATTGGGCTGCATTATTACACCTAGTACATTTGAATCAAACCATACCCGAATAAGACTGCCCCCCTCCCCTACGCTCACACTGTGCTACCAGGAAGCATTTCCAGGTAAATTTGCATTATCTCCTGTCAGCTAGACCACAGTGAACCCTCCCTTTCCGTGCTCATTGAGATTTCAGTACTCGGGCACAGTTTGCGCTCACACTGAACCAAACTGTCCCAGGCTCCAAGTGAACCATGCCCCATAGAAACTTCTTGAAGTGGTCCCTGACACAGAACATTTGACCATGCCCAGAAACAGTTCAGAGCACTCGTGATACACAAACAAACCCAAAATAAGGCAGTGAACCGTGCCCATTCACAGATAACACACAGATAACACAGAGTTATTCACAAAAGGGTGAAGAGTTTGGAGAAGGCAGGAGACGTGATCTAGGACAAAAAAGCCAATTGTGAAAAATTCTACAATTCAGCTTAATTTTCCAATTCAGATATGTTGTTCTAGATGGTTCACTTCTCATGCCTTCCCCGAACTCGTCACCCTTTTGTGAGTAACCCTCTAAAGCAGCGGTTCTCCACCCGAGGGTTGCGACCCCGTCGGGGGTCGAATGACGATTTGCCAGGGGTCGCCTAAAAGACATCCCAACTTTTCCGGACGCTCCGGGAGTCTCCAGCTATTAGAAATCAGCTCCCGGCCGCCCGGGGAGAGAAACACTTCTCTCGGAAAGTTTTACTCTGCTCGATCGAGCAGAGTAAGCCCTTACCTGCTCCGTTTTTTTTTTTCCTGACATAGGAGCCGCCGGCTGCCGTCAGGAAAAAAAAAAAACAGCATAGGAATGCATAGCTAGATTCCTATTGGCTATTACACTTTGCAATAGCCAATAGCAAACTAGCTTTAGCACCCGCCCACTGCTGCCAATCAGCAGAAGAGGACCTGAAGTTCTCCATCAGGTCCCCTTCTAGTGATTGACAGCAGAAGAGCGCAGGTGCAATGGCCAGCTTGCTATTGGATATTGCAAATTGAAATAGCCAATAGGAATCTAGCTATGCATTCCTATGCTGTTTTTTTTCTTTTTTTCTGACTGATGGCAACCCGTCAAAAAAAAAAAAAAATAACCAGAGCAGGGAAAGGTTTACTCTGCTTGGTCGAGCAGAGTAAACCTTCCCGGGAGAAAGTGTTTATCTCCCGATCGGCCGGGAGCCGCTAACGGTAGCAAAATTAAAGCAAAAAATCATTTTACTGTTAGGGGTCACCACAACTTGGGCATTGTTATCAAAAGGGTCACGGCACTAGAAAGGTTGGGAACCGCACCGCTGCTCTAAGGCAAGGTTGACAGCTGGGCAGCATTGTTTTTGTGCATTTGTACACACATTGATGCACTTTTGTACACGTGTACTTTAAAAAGACATGCATTTTGACTTGCAGTTTATAAAACATTGCAGGCAATGGACAAACACACGTTTAAAAACACACAATTGTGCAACATGCTTTTGCCTCACATTCGAGTATTTCCATTGAAGTCTATGGGCCAAAAACACATTAACTGGCCAAAGAAACTCATGTACCTTTTTGGGCGTTTTCCTGCTCAGGTGTTAACAGGGGGCATTAAAAATCATAAGATTTATTGTGTTAAGCATTCAAAACCACTTCTCTAACGGTTTAAAAAACACATAGATGTGAACCAGGCCTAAGTGTTAGTACACCATAAACTTCACATTTACTCTGCAAAGCACCAGACTGCCTACTCCTGGTGCAAGACTCGCAATACAGGAACATAGAACAAACAAAGGTCACGACATTAAAGTAAGATGCTGGTGTGCTTTTCAAAAATCACATAGGACTAAAAGCAAGGCACCAGGCAGTGAAGACGTAGCAGGCGATAAGAAAGCCCCGAAGTATCCGTCTTTATTACTGCTGCCCAAAGGAACGCGGATAACCAAAGCAAAACAGTACATCTCTATCTGTCTCCTCTCAGCATGAACACACCATGTCTTAAAAACATCACCAATGCCGTTTTTGCGCCTCACCTGGCCCCCTACTTTCTCTCACTCCCCCTGGTTCTCTCACATCTTCCTCCTTTGTGATTGCTCACATACTCTTCCGCTTTGCTACGACGTTCACGCCTAACTTCCTTTACGCAGTACGCCTTAATGACGTAAGGCTCCGCCTCCCTACCTCTCTAAACATCTAATAGCCAATGGAAGAAAAAAGAAGGCGGGGTTAACTTTCATACTCGTCTAACTATGAGCGGTGTGTGTTGTGACAATTTAATTTTATATTGATTCTCTATTGTCATACTATAGCAATCTTTATGTAGAGAAAAGTTAGCTCCTTAATAATGAATACTGAATTTGCTGAACATAACAACCAAGCAGGGACTTTGTTTCGTTTTCCTGATGCCTGTTTGCTGTGATAACAGATCGACTTCTGTGACGTTTTGCAGCTCTGACATGTCCCCGGTGTTCTATTGAAAGCTCCAACGTATCGAGATCTTCAACTATCTCATTTCCGGTGCTCAGAAAGACTGGAGTAATGTACAGTTGCGGTGCGCATAGCTGTTTCAGAATACTTGTCGAGTTTGCCAGCTGCTGAATATTGTTAAAATGCAGCTGTACAGAGCTCCGTCAGTCTTTGTGTTTTGCAGACTAACGCCGCCTGATCAAAATCTTCAACTTGCAAGTACCCTCAGTGAGGTAGTTGGAGATTTCAACGAGTTGGAGCTTTCGATAGAACACCAGCGCTACTTTGTTTTTCTTGTGCAGTTTTAATGTGATGGGTCATGTGGGGCTGGGTTTCCACTGTTTATAGCAATGCAAAAATGTGAGTTGGTTCACTGCTGTGTCATTCATTTTAAAGCCTTGGTCACACAAGGCTTTTATGTCCGGAAATTCCTTTGTCAAGAATTAGTCGCTTTTTGCAGGAGGAATCACTCCCCTATCCATATATCCAGCAGTAAGTAGAAGCTAGGAAAAGATGTCTAAACCTGGATGGAAGCAGACTGCGTCCAGGGTAGATAATCTGTTCCTAGCCACAGGTAACTGCTGGATGCACTGCAAATACATGCAGAAGCATATAGCAATGGACAGTAGTCACTGACAAAACAGTGCATGCTGGGACCACATGTGATTCTCAACACAAGAATCCATAGTCAGGCACAAAAGCCCCATGTAAATAAGGTCCTAGTGGCACCCCAAAACACATCTTGCCAAAAGGAGCGCTGCAGCATACTGCAACACATGGTAACAAACTACTTTGTGTCATAGTTACATAATTAGTCAGGTTGAAAAAAGACACAAGTCCATCGAGTCCAACCTACACCTACACGGTGCAGTGTGTTACAAAAAATAGTGCATGCTCTTTTTTGGTGAGTTAGCCCATTCAAATGAAAGGGGCTGCCTTAAAGCAAAGCACATTAAAGCACAACATAATGCGCAGTAACTAAGCACAACACAGCATTATCAATAAACCATAGTGTCTCTATGAGGTTACAAAGCTTCTCTCTGACACCCACCTGACCACTTGCCCCCTGGACCCTGTTCCTTCACCTCTACTTCGGTCACCCTCATACTCTATCCTACACTCTCTTACTCACATTTTCAATCTCTCACTCTCTACTGGAATCTTTCCCTCCCCTCTGAAGCATGCCCTGGTCACCCCAATACCCAAAAAACCCTCAATGGACTCTAACGTATACCATCTCTATGCCAATGACACTCAAATCTATCTTTCTACTCCACAACTCACCCCCTCAGTGTCCTCCCGTGTCACTAATCTACTATCCGACATATCCGTCTGGATGTCGCAACACTTTCTAAAACTCAATCTTTCAAAAACAGAGCTCTTGCTATTTCCTCCTGCCCGTGCACCTTCTCCCATCTTTTCCCTTGAGATTGTTAACACAACTATCCAGTCCTCCCCTCATGCCAAGGTCCTAGGTGTCATCCTTGACTCGGACCTCACCTTTCTTCCCCACATCCAATCGCTATCCAAATCCTGCCGCCTTCACCTTCTTACACAGGCTATCCCCCCTTCAGTCTATCATGAATGCAGCTGCTAGACTCATCCACCTAACCAACCGCTCAGTGTCTGCAACCCCCCTCTGCCAATCCCTGCACTGGCTTCCTATAGCCCAAAGGATAAAATTCAAAATATTAACAATCAGTTACAAAGCCATCCACAACTCTGCCCCCGGCTATATCTCAAACCTGGTCTCAAAGTATCACCCTAACCGTCGGCTCCGCTCATCCCAAGTCCTCCTGCTTTTCAGCTCCCTTGTCAACTCCTCCCATGCTCGCCTCCAGGACTTCTCTAGAGTATCTCCCATCCTCTGGAATTCTTTACCCCAACCTGTTCGTCTGTCGCCCACCTTGACTGCCTTTAGGCGGTCCCTAAAGACTCATCTCTTCAGGGAAGCCTATCCCACCTCAACCTAATCGCTCAACCATCATGTTCTCAAACAATTCATCTCCACGCAGCTCCCTCATCATGTATCACTTCCCCATCCCTTTTAGATTGTAAGCCCTCAGGGGCAGGGCCCTCCTTCCCATCTTGTCTTGAATTGTATTGTGATTGTAATTTCTTCCTTATATTGTAAAGCGCTGCGCAAACTGTTGGCGCTATATAAATCCTGTATAATAATAATTTAAAAAATAATAAGTGTCTCTCCAGGTCGGTCCACGATTGCCCGTCACAGTTAGGTGCTCGCACAGCTTGTCAGTGGCAATACCATTGCAGAAAAATTGGAGAGTCAATGTGCTGCTATCCTGGCCGGCCATAGCCCTTTAGGCGCCCTGTGCGAGAAAGCTTTACAGCGCCCCTCAGTGGCCACACACCCCAGTGGCCACACCCATTTCTCCCAATATCCGCACCATTTAAAGACTCCTATTTTGTTAAGCCGCAAAGAAACATTAAAAAGTATGATAAAAATAAAACTTTTATTTAAAGGTATTAAACTTGTAGGCACAACAGAAGTATTCTTATCAAATAAAACAGAAGGCAAACAATAAATGTCAAACTACAATAGAGTCTATAAAAATAAATTGTCAGGTTGTCATGCCGATCCCTTTTTTCAAGTAAGTGCATCTAGAAAAGTAAAAATAGAAAACAGAACACAAAACTTGGACTAAAAATTAATGAATTACTATACACTGAGTGGCCAGATTATTATGACTACCCCATCAGTACTTCGTTGGGCCACCTTTTGCCTTCAATACTGCAGCGATTCTTCTTGGCATTGACTCCACGAGATGTTGAAAGGTGATGCGAGGAATCTGACACCATGCCTGATGAATAGCACTGTCCAGTTCTGTGAGATTTGATGGTTGTGGAACCAGCTGCCTGATGGCTCTTTCAACTTCGTCCCACAAATGCTCAATTGGATTGAGATCTGGTGATTGTGGGGGCCACCTAAGCAAGGTAAATTCTCCCTCATGTTCTTGAAACCACTCCTGCACAATACGAGCACCGTGGCATGGCGCATTGTCTTGTTGGAAGAAGCCATCTCCATTGGGATACGCCATCAACATGATAGGATGAACTTGATCAGCAATGATACTTTGGTATGTTGTGCTATTCAGACATTGTTTCACACGGATTAAAGGGCCCAAATCATGCCAGGAAAACATGCCCCAAACCATAACACTGCCCCCACCAGCCTGAAGAGTTGTACTCATGCATGTGAGGTGCATGTATCACGTACCTGGTATGGAGACCGAAGGTTTGAGGAGGCTTCTCTTGCACCTCGTGTCTTGTGGCCTTTGAGGTTGGGGACAAAGGCCAGGCAGACAAGGAGTGGCACGAGTGCTTAGGGAAATCCAGTAATCGAGGTCACAACAAGCCGGGGTCAAATAGCCAGGAGATCCGATGCAGTACAAAAGGGAGCAGGCAGAAGAAAAATCCAGAAAACAGTCCAAGGTCAAAAAGGCAGGCAGCAAGCGGGGATGGTCGGCAAAACAGGAACAAGTCAAAATCCAGGGAGTTCAGGAGTATATAGGACCAGGCAAAACGGGATTCAAGGAACACACACAAGCTGGAAAGACAAACCAGCAACTAATGGTCGTGTGAGCTGGGTTTAAATAGGGCAGTGAATCTATCAAGCATGTAATTTCCTGTGCGCCATTTGGCGCGTCTTTCCGCGCCATATGCACGTCACTTCCGGTGCGCCCTTTGGCGCGTCTTTCCGTGGGCAGGATGTGCACTGCGCATGCGTTCACAGCCTGTTCATTCATAACTGGGGACCCATAGTACTATGTGTCCCCAGTTATTTACAAACATTATTAACATTATTATTATTGTTCAATTTTATTTGTCCCGTCATTGCACCCTTGTTTAATTTCTGGCCAATTATTGTACAAAAAAAGGATTGCATCATGATTGCTTGATAATTGTAAGGTGTATGGATACCTTAACTCTAGGACTGGCAGGTCCTAGCTTGCAGGCACCACTCTGTCCACTGCTGTCACCATCTTCCCTCCATTTTTTCTGGGTCTTGTGTCACTCCTCTTTGGCCATTGGGCAGCCACTGATAATGTAACGTTTGCACATGCGCACTGAAGTTACATTGTCCCATGCATCTGTCTCATTCTCAGCATATTATAGACAGGGTCGCCATCAGGGGGTACGGCCGATACTCATGTAAGGGGCCCGGGCAGCCTGTGAAGGGCGAGGAGGCAGCCGGGCCCCTGCATGCGGCTCATTGTCCTTAGTGGTGAGACAAGTTGTTTTACATGCTAGTTTGTGAGTGTGCCATGATGCCTTTCTACTGTACTAATTTCTGAGTCTAGCGCGTCACTAATTCCTGAGTCCAGCACGTCACTAATCCCAGCGTCAATCGCGTCACTAATCCCTGCGTCAATCGCGTCACCAATCCCTGCATCAAGCGCGTCACTAATCCCTGCATCCAGCGGGTCACTAATCCCTGCATCCAGCGGGTCACTAATCCCTGCATCCAGCGGGTCACTAATCCCTGCATCCAGCGGGTCACTAAGCCCTGCATCCAGCGGGTCACTAAGCCCTGCGTCCAGCGGGTCACTAAGCCCTGTGTCCAGCGGGTTACTAAGCCCTGTGTCCAGCGGGTTACTAAGCCCTGTGTCCAGCGGGTCACTCAGCCCT